GCTGTTTGCGAAGCCTCCTCCTTGGAGGGCATTCTGGGGGTCTCACGAAAGTTTTCATATAGGCTTCTTGGTGCCTTCTGGAGGCCTTCTGGGGGCCTTCTGGGGGCCTCCGGGGGCTCCCCCGGGCCATCCTGCTTCCAACCGCGATCTCCCCGAACGACCGGGTCACGATCTGGAATGCTTCGGGGGCGTGCTGGGGCCACCTTGGGCCATCACGGGGGCTCTCTTCGGGCCATCTTGGAACCCTGCCTTGCCGGCTTGGGGCTCTCCTGCACTGCACTGCCTGGGCGCCCTTTCGGACAGTCCTGGTCACCAGCCTGGAACCTACCCCTATCCCTATGGTGGGCATCGCCTCGTCACCATGGCGATCTTAGGGATTCCCTCAGTTTCTGAGGGTGCATCCCTAAGATTATCATCGCCTTTGGGCGTGTCTATCTTAGGGATAGGGATAAGGTCGAGGCTGGCTACCTGGGGCGAGCTCCGGGCCCCCTGGGCGGCCTCGGACCCTCGAGAGCCCGAGGGACAGAGCACCGCCAAGGCCACGCGGAGCCAGGCGAACATCCATGCTCTCCTGCGCCGCGGGGCCCTCGTGGGGTTCTTCTGTGGGTCGTCTTCGGCCGTCTGCTGGTTGTCTGGGGCCTCTTGGTGCCCTCGGGTTATGATGCTCCAGCCTGCTGCAGCCTTCTCCGCCAGAAAGACTTGAGCACCAAGGAAATAGCGAAGCCGGAGGGCTTTCACGCGTCGAGCCCTGGGATGCGATGCTCGTTCGACACGGTTTCGGTACTTTTCTCAGTGCTCGACATGATCTTTGGGATGCGGTCCTCCTTTTAGGGATGCGGTCCTTTTCGGTATTTTTCTGAGTACTTTTCTTTCTATTTTGGGATGCGGTCCTTTAAGTACGATGGGAACAGCGTAGCCCTCGGGGTGCTGTCCGGCCGCCCTCCTGAGCGATGTGTGGGCGGCCCGCTGCCCAGGCCCAGCGGAGGGGGAACTTCCGGGAGCTCCAGAGAGCCCGGGGGGGCCTCCTGGAGGGGCGCCGGGGGAGCCCCAGACGCCACGGATCTGGGGGTCCGGTTCTGGGGGTGGGGTAGGCGTGGGCCCTCCCCCAGGCATGGGAAGGGGATTCTCTGTATCTGTATATGTGTAGGTGTGTATATACCTATTTGTGTAGACACGTGTCTATATATATATATGATTATAAGCCTGCGCTCACACATATATATATATATATATATATACATATATATATATGTTTTGGCATGAACATCTTTATACATACACATAACCATATGGTTATGCCCTTAATTTTACCTATAGAGATATAAGTAAACATACTAACACATACGTGCGTTTGTGCACACATAGTTGTGAATACACGTATGCGTGTACATATGTATGCGTGTACGTATGTATGCATGCACGTATGCATATATGCATGTATGTATGTATTTATGCATGTATGTATGTATGTATGTATGTATGTATGTATGTATGTATGTATGTATGTATGTATGTATGTATGTGTGTATGTTTGTATGTTTGTATGTTTGTTTGTATGACTCGATACTTGTTTCTCTTCTTCTAATGAATAGTTGTATCTGTGTATGTGTATGTATCCCTCCCTCCATCCGTTCTTCATCCACATCTCTTCACCTCTGTCTAATCAACCCTCTCTCTCTCTCTCGCTCTCGTACTGACTCTCTCTCTCTATCTATATATATATATAGATTGCGCTCTATCTCATGCCCCTCCCCTGCTCCGCTCTCTCCTTCTCATCTCCTTCCTCGCTCCCTCTCCCCTCCCGTCTCCCTCCCCCCTGCTCTTCTCTCCTTCGAGCACCGCAGACGCGCACGCCGACGCGCAGCAGCAGCAGCAGCAGCAGCAGAAGCTTTCCTCTTCATCCCTCGCTCCTCCCCTCCTCGCCCCCCCAGACCACTCACCGCCCACCCCTCCCTCCGCTCCGCCATGTTTCGCCCGAGGGCGCCCAGCCGTCGGGGGTGAATCGAAACATGCGGGTGCGAGCGCTGCGGCGGGCAGCTCGCGACAAAAGCACGGCCCTGCTTCCGCGGGCCAGGGCTGCACAAGCAGGGGGGGTCGCCCCGACAAGGGGGGGTCCACGCGGAGGGGCTAGGCGTGTCGACGGCGCTGCGGCGGGCACCTCGAGACAAAAGCACGGCCCTGCTTCCCCGGGCCAGGGCTGCACAAGCGGGGGGTCGCCCCGACAAGGGGGCGGCTCCAGGCGGAGGGGCTGGGCGTGTCGACGGCGCCCCGACGAGGAGGATCCGCGCGCGAAGAACAAGCGCCGCGCAGGCCAGTCTGCCACAGGCTGCGGGGCCTAGCGGGGACCGCTGGGCGGAGGGTCAAAACTGCGGCGGGGGGGGGCGGCGGAGGTGGGTATGGCGTAGCCGTCAGCTCACCACGCTGTGCATGCACACGGATGCCGCCCAATAACATCGGGCACGTGCTTTGTGACAACTGCCCTCGTGTCAGGAGATGAGGAGAGCGTGGTGGCGCCCGGGCCCACCCGCCTGAGTGCCTATGCAGCGGCTTTTCATTTCGCACGCTTACGCATTGCACATTGTTTGTTCAATGCGCTGGATTGGGTTGCGTTCGATCTTCTACTGTTCAACGTGTCCGTGCTCTTGCCATCAGAGACTGGAAAGGAGCGTCCTCGCCATCACAAAGCTGGTGTTTCGCACGCAGGTGGGGGACGCCACTGTCGGAGGCTCCGCAGAACACAGCTTGGTGGAGTTCGAGACGTACATACATCGTCCGCCGAGACCCCGAGCGCGATTGGCACTCAGTGTAGCAGTCACAGAAGAGCCCAGGGAAGCGTCCTCCCCCACATCCTCCTCATCCTCCTCCTCCTCCTCCTCTTTCTCCTCCTCCTCCTCCTCCTCTTTCTCCTCCTCCTCCTCCTCCTCCTTCTCCTCCTCCTCTTCCTCCTCCTCCCCCTCCTCCTCCTCCTCCTAGGTCGCTGCACGGGGGGGTCACAAAGCATACTGACCGTACCTCACGTACAACTGTACAGCATCACCTTTGCGCCCCTAGGCCACAGTTTTCGGGAGCACGCAGACTGGGGGGCCTCATGACGGCGTCCGTCATCATCGTACGATGAGAACGTGCTACTACAACCCACTGGAGGCAGGCACGCTGGAACGATTGGAAGATATTAGTGCTGAAATTCACAGTTGGTACGTCATACTACTCAGTGGTACGTGCCGCTGGGCAGGACAAGAGGCTGCACAACGTAACTACTTCCCCTCCCACACCGTCCTACAGCTTGGGGCCCGAAAGGGAACTGGGTCAACAAAAGCTGTGGAGCGGCCATACGAATGAGCCATCGAGCCGACGAGAGAGCCATCCGCGAGATCTACACCCCGCCCGACTACCTCCAAAGACGTGTGGCAGGAACCCGACTAACTACGACCCACTACGACTACGCCACGCCCTCTACGTATTTTACTACGCCCCTACCCATGAGCGTTCCTACCCTCTGCTGGCGGACAGCCTTACTTTGTGGTTGGAAGAACATGCAGACGAACTGGGATGCCGCACTACAGTAGTACTGGGTGGCGGCGTCAACAGCGATTTCGGCTGCCATAGGGGACTAGACGGTTCCATCGTCTGCAGTAAGGGCCCTGCCGTGCCTCCCCCCCAACCTAAGGTAGAAAACAACAACGGAGCTACGTACTACGGCCACTTTGGGTACGCCAGCAGGGTTGACCACATTACTATCCCTACAGGCAGCCCCCCCTAGTAAAACGGTGCGAAGTATTACACTTGTCAGGTAAACGGTTACAAAAGATCAAAGTGCGAGGCCATCGCGACCACGTCCCAATTGGCCCCACCCTCCTCGCCTCCGCCTCCACCACCGCCTTCCCGCCCCGCGCCCGCTCACAACAGCAACTATGCCGTGATGGGCTGATGGACTGCCTGCGCAGCGGTCACAAGCGAGGCCAGCTGATACAACAGCTGAACCAGGAGGTGCGAGGGGGGAGGCCCTTGCAAAACCGACTCCAGATACTACTTGGGACTTGATAAGGGGGCGCGCGCCTCGCAGCCCAGCAGCCGCAGGCGCCGCAGCAGCGCCTCAGGCCCCGCGAGCACCCCAGCGGACAGCGGGTCGGGGCTCATTACCTCCTTGCCCCAAGCAGACCCACCAGAGTCTCGAGAGGAAAAACTCGCCAGATACATTAGTCGCGACCTGGAACGGTACACTAAGTTGCGCGGGCAGGCCCAAGCTCATGGGGGGCGCATGGCTCCACTACTCCAGCTCGCCAGTTCCTACCGAGACGGTCCAGGAATTATCATCGGTCGAATGAGCAACAACAGGCAAGCTGGTCTCTTATTACAGCATGCCGTTGCTACAGGCGGACCGTCGGCGCCCCATTACATCCACTCTTGTTTTTGTTCAGTGCGTACCTCTTCTTTCCCCGCAGGCAGAAGACACAGGCGACCGGACTACCCTCCAACTTCACCGCAGAGGCTGCGCGTTACTATGCGGGGGAGCTGGTGACCAATCAAGGGCACTTATCACCGACGACCGCGGTGCGTCTGCGATCCCACCTCGGCCCCCTTAACCTCCTACAGGCAGTAGCAGCCACTCCGAGTACAGGCGCCCCTTGGGCTCCACAGGTTCTCGTCCCTCTACGAGGCCCGCACGGAGCCCCGAGGCACTGGGAGTTATCGTGCTCGCTACGACGGGAAGGACGTCAGGGGGGCCACGCAGGGTTACCAGAGGCTTCCTCAGCAGGCCAGCTGTCACGGATCTTGCAGCCTATGGAGGCTCTATAAGGACTCAACGACGACGGCGTGCGACGGGGCTACTTCCGACCCCAGCATTGCCCCACAGGAAACAACAAGGGGGGCGGCCAACCCGACAGCAAGGTCCGACGCCCAACCACATACGCCCCCCCATCCGCAGCCTTTTTTTCTCGACAGCCAGGGGGCTTTTCTTTTTTTCCACGCGCAGCAGCGACTGTGCTAGCGACGATGCGATGGCCTCCCACAGCGAGCCAGCAGAGAAGGCGGCGGCGGCACCCGAGGCGCTGCAGGAGCAGAACGGCGGCGAGAACACTACGCAGCCGAAGGAGGACGCCGTTGTGCAGGAGGCGGCAGACATAGGCAGCGGAGTGACGGACGCCGTCTTCGGGACCATGGCCACTCGCCATTGCCCACCCTGCTGAGCACGGGCGAGCCCCCCCCCGAAGTTGCTCGAGCACTCGGACACGGTGCAGCACCAGCTCTACGCCCAGCGGGGCCGCGTCGCCATGGCGCTCGCTCGCATCAGCGCCTCGAAGAGCTTCAGCTGCCATGAGGAGATGGAGCGGGCTCACGCGACGGTGCTGCTCAAGATGCAGATCGAAGAGCTCGCGGCGGCAACCGACAAGTGCAGGGGGGTCGGAGCCTCCCTCACGGATGCGAGCCGCCTGCACACAGGGCCTTTCCCGTGCTGGACTACGCGATGTACCAGTGCGACGAGCTGGGGGACTTCTACAGCAAGTGGACGCACAGTGGCCACGGCTGGGGCTGCGACGAGGTCGCGAAGGACGGGGCGCCCACCATGGGCGGCGGGGCAGCGGCCGAGACCGTCATCAGCATCCAGCCTCAAAGGCCGCCGCGTAGGTTCCCCGGCCCAGCGGTCAAGGGAGGGACCACGCACGGAGTAAAGATCGTGAAGCCACCTCTGCAGGAGCAGCCGCCCCTGCAGGACATGGCGCAGCAGCCGCCCCCGACGCAGCGCCCCAGCAGCAGCGACGTCAGAACGTACGACCAGGAGGCAGCACGCGCTGCGGGGTGGGGAGTCGGCATCGGCGGCCCTAGCACCAGCACGCAGAACACAGAGGGGGTCGAAGCGTGAGAAGCCTGCCCGCCGGCGCCCGCCAGACAGCCAAGCAGCACTGTGCCCAGCTGCAGGGTGCCGAAGGGCACTAAGCAGTAGCAGCAAGGTGATCAGGCGCCCGCAAGCTTGCCAAGCGGCACTGTGCCCAGCTGCAGGGGGCCGAAGGGCACTCAGCAGCAGCAGCAGCAAGGTGCTCAGCACGATGCTCATCAGGGGTTGCCCTGACGCGCACTGCGTTATAATGTGCCAGCCTGAAGAGGACGAGGGGGGCTGGAGTGTGGGAGTGGGTGGAGTTGTGGAGTGTTTGTGTGTGTGTGTGTGTGTGTGCGTGTGTGCGTGTGTGTGTGTGTGTGTGTGTGTCTGTGTGTCTGTGCGTGTGCGTGTGCGTGTGCGTGTGCGTGTGTGCGTGTGTGTGTGTGTGTCTGTGTGTGTCTGTGTGTGTCTGTGTGTGTCTGTGTGTGTGATGTGTGTGTGTGTGTGGTGTGTGTGTGTGTGTGTGTGTGTGTGTTGTGTGTGTGTGTGTGTGTGTGTGTGTCGTGTGTGTGTGTGTGTGTGTGTGTGTGTGTGTGTGTGTGTGTGTGTGTGTGTGTGTGTGTGTGTGTGTGTGTGTGTGTGTGTGTGTGTGTGTGTGTGTGTGTGTGTGGGGGGGGGGGGAGCCCGCAGAAGTCCTCAACAGGGGTAGCCCCACCCCCGAGTAACGAGGGCAGCGCCTCTTGCCCGCTTTTTCTTGCGTCCCGCTTTCGGTCCCAAGCGGGGTGTCCCGCTGGAGGGGCACGAGGACCACCCGCCACGGAGCGGGGGCCTCGACGCCCCAGGCTGTCCCCCCCGGAAACAAAGGGGGGTAGCATCCATTTGATTCCTTAGGGGCCCGACCCGAGTTTCAAAGCCCCCGAGAGGAGGCGCTTGAGACCATGGACCCCCAAGGGCCTTTACCTTGACCTTACCTCCTCCTCCTTCTCCTCCTCCTCCTCCTCCACCTCCTCCTCCTCCTCCTCCTCCCCTCCTCCTCCTCCTCCTCCTCCTCTCTCCTCCTCCTTCTTCTACCCCCTCCATCCCGCCTTCGTCTTCCACATTTCCCCCTTTCCTCTACCTTCCCCTGCTGCCGCGACGCGAACCCTGTAGAGGCTGCAGATTGGCGCGCGGGGCACAAGTACCACTGCCGAGCGCCTGAGGCAACCTGCGTGTGAATGGGGAGGAGGAGGAGGAGGAGGAGGAGGAGGAGGAGTGAGGAGGAGGAGGAGGGAGGAGGAGGAGGAGGAGGAGGAGAGGAGGGGAGGAAGGAGGAGAGGAGGAGAGAGGAGGAGGAGGAGGAGGAGGAGGAGGAGGAGGAGGAGAGGAGGAGAGGAGGTAGGCAGGAGGAGGAGGAGGAGGAGGAGGAGGAGGAGGAGGAGGAAGGAGGAGGAGGAGGAGGAGGAGGAGGAGGAGGAGGAGGAGGAGGAGGAGGAGGAGGAGGAGGAGAAGGAGGAGGAGGAGGAGGAGAAAGGAGAGGGCTGACGCTGTGATTCCAGTCAGTCTGAAATAGCCCAGCGTCAAGCCGGGCGAGGGGGCGAGCGAGCGAGCCTCAAGTCTGCGGGTGATTCACTGGCAGACCTCAGAAGAATATGGAGAGGAGCGCGCCCACGGCGAACTCCATGAGCGAAGGGTGGGGATGGACGGCGCCCTAGCCGCAAAACGGCCCGGGCCCCTACCGTCCACCACTGCCACCACCACCCGCCGAGCCGGTCACTTTGCCGAGCTCCACGACCAGGCGGCGCAGGCGGTCGTCGTCCATCAGGAGCCACATCGACTCGTCCGCCACGGGATTCGTCGACAGCGCCCTGAGCTGCGCGAGCAGGCCCGCGCGCTCCCCAGGCGCCGCCGCCGCCGCCACCGAAGGCGCGGCTTCCGCGGCAGGCGGGTCGGCACCCGCCCCAGCCGCTCCAGCAGCAGCCTTCTCATGCCGCCTCCGCGACCGCGGAGGGGGCGCGTCAGCCCAAGAGTCGTCGAGGAGGTCGTCGTTGTCGCCGACGTCCATGGCCACCGCTGCGGGGCCGACAAGCGCCAAGGGCGCGCCAGCCCCCACAATCGCCACGTCCGCCGCCGCCGCAGCCTCTCCCCGCTCCAGGGCACGCCGCCCAGCCAGTCGCTGGCGGCGTCGTCGACGCCGCTCCAGCTTGGCCGACGAGGCGGCAGCAGGAGCAGCAGCGTCATCATCAGCTCCAGAGGGCGGCACGGGCGCTGCAGGCGCTGCTGGCCGCTCGCGCAGCGCGAAGAGCGCGGCGCTGACGGCCGAGCGCGCCACGGCAGCCACCGTGCGCCTCGGAGCCTTGGCAGTCACAGCGCCCCGCACCGCCGCCTCGACGACAGCGGCAGCGTCCGCCATGAGAGCCCCCTCTAGGCTCGTGCCCGCCGCGGAGGGGGCGCCGAGCCGTGCGTCCGTTTGAGCCAAAATGGCTACGGACTGGCCGGGCGAGGGAGAAGAGGAGGAGGAGGAGGAGGAGGAGGAGGAGGAGGAGGAGGAGCAGGAGCAGGAGCAGGAGCAGCAGGAGCAGCAGGAGCAGCAGGAGCAGCAGGAGCAGCAGGAGCAGGAGCAGGAGCAGGAGCAGGAGGAGCAGGAGGAGCAGGAGCAGGAGGAGCAGGAGCAGGAGCAGGAGCAGGAACTGGAACTGGAGCAGGAGCAGGAGGAAGATGGAAAGAGCAGTCAGATCTGCGAAAAAAACATGCTATACGGTAGTTTCGTGCGGCATTGGCGCGCGCGCCTGCGACGCATGCGAAGGCATTCCAGGTTGAACTCCGCATGATAGAACGACGCTGAAGCACTGAGGGGCACGATAAGGCCGCAGATTCCGACGGAAGTCGACCTTGATCGATCAGGGCCGTGACCGGTTCAAGGTTGAACGATCGGCGCGGTGTCAAAAACCTTCGCGCGCGCCGACGCCGAATTGCCTTGCGCCGTCCCATGGCGGATGCGGCGGCGGAGGCGGAGGCGGAGGCGGAGGCGGCGGAGGAGGAGGAGGAGGAGGAGGAGGAGGAGGAGGAGGAGGAGGAGGAGGAGGAGGAGGAGAGGTGGGAGGAGGGGAGGAGGAGGAGGAGGGGGGGCGAGGAGGGGGGGAGGAGGGGGGAGAAGGATGGTGCGGAGGAGGGGAGAGGGGAGGAGGAGGAGGAGGAGGAGGAGGAGGAGGAGGGAGGAGGAGGAGTGAGGAGAGGAGGAGGAGGAGGAGGCGGAGGGGAGGAGAGCACGAGAGGGATGAGGAGGAGGAGGAGGAGGAAGAGGAGGAGGAGGAGGGAGGAGCAGGAGCAGGAGCAGGAGCGGAGCAGGAGCAGGAGCAGTGAGCAGGAGCACGAGCAGGAGGAGCAGGAGCAGGAGCAGGAGGAGCAGGAGCAGGAGCAGGAGCAGGAACTGGAACTGGAGCAGGAGCAGGAGGAAGATGGAAAGAGCAGTCAGATCTGCGAACAACAATGCTATACGGTAGTTTCGTGCGGCATTGGCGCGCGCGCCTGCGACGCATGCGAAGGCAGTCCAGGTTGAACTCCGCATGATAGAACGACGCTGAAGCACTGAGGGGCACGATAAGGCCGCATATTCCGACGGAAGTCGACCTTGATCGATCAGGGCCGTGACCGGTTCAAGGTTGAACGATCGGCGCGGTGTCAAAAACCTTCGCGCGCGCCGACGCCGAATTGCCTTGCGCCGTCCCATGGCGGATGCGGCGGCGGAGGCGGAGGCGGAGGCGGAGGCGGCGGAGGAGGAGGAGGAGGAGGAGGAGCGATCAGGAGCGATCAGATGAAAGGACAGCGTACGTCCACAAACGGCGCCATGGCCATCGGTGACCTGGCCCGCTTGAGGGTTAAAACTGAGGCCCCAGTTTTAACCCTCTTCAAAAAGGGGGTCTGCGGCCGTCGGCGGGCCGCCTCACGCCTGAGGGGAAAAGGAATGCGGGGCACTCCAGATTCCCCCGACCTGGAGGAAGGAGAAAAACTTGTTGATCAGCGCGCACTTGCTGATCACGTAGCCGAACTCGAGCGCTCCTGGAGAACCCTGTCCACGAACTGGCTGCGCAGCTCGTCCGTACACTCCAAACCGATCTCGAGCGCATTCTGCATGGCCGAGTCCACGAGGCAAAGCTCGTACTCCGTCAGGGTCTCGATGACCTTCTCCGCCTCCTTCGCATCAGTCTGTAGGTTGTTACTGTCCTCGGACTGCACGCGGTACACGCCGAGCAGTTTCGAAGCCTCCTCCATCTTGAGCTGCAGGTCCGTGAACTGTTGCTGCAGCTGCTGAGCCGTCTCGGCCGTGCCCTTCGACAGCTCCTTTAACGGCTTCACCTCGATGTCGGCCGCCACCGAGCCGACCAGGGCGCCGTCCTCGCTCTCGGGCACGTCGGTCGAACTCTCGATGGACGAGTTCTTCTTCATCAGGCCCTGCTTCAACTGTGGTCCGGCACTGACGATGACCTGGCCCGCCGCCGCGGCGAGGCCGGCGCACGCCGGGTGCGCAGTCGCGTTCCGGTTCCTGGAGGCTCGCCCCAGCCTGCCCGCCACGGCACGGCCAGGAGCCCCCAGGCTAGACAGGAC